GGTATGCCGCACACCGAACTGAGATGTACGAAAAAGTTGCGGTGAACTGTTTAAGTACAAAGCAGTTTAATGAAAAAAATACTGGGATGTTTATCTCAAATAATGTTCAATGGTGTATTTTAATGTGAGAATTAGGGTGTAAAAACTATTTTCAACTCCTTCCATTTTATCTGTACTTGGCTTATGGGTTTTCCCGCTAGTATTGTATTTATATCACAGAAATTTGTAATAAAACAAATTTAAATTTGTGAAATAGTCTGCATCTGTATTCGTATAGAATAATCATTTACGTCCAATTTATTACTTTTATTGATTTTCTGAAGTATACGGATTATTTCAAAGTCATTTTAATATTTAGTGAAATTGCAGGTTGGCATCCAATAGAAAATATTCTTAGAGTTGAGATATGCTATAAAGCCAAAACAATTAATAAGCAATTACGTTTTGCGAAAAAGTATACTAACATACAAACAGGAAATTATACATAGCATGTGTTCTTACAAAGAAAAGAAAACTAGAGCAAACTATGTTTTTATTATACAGTTTTAAAGATAGAAATTAACAAATTGTGTAAATATTTATTTCAAATAAATGCAGAAAATAAATTTGAAATATTAAAAAAAAGTAATAGAAATGTCTGTATATAAAATAATAATACTTTTTCAGTGGGAGATGAATGTAAATAAGCTTCAATGTATCGCTTTTAATTATTCACTGTTTATCAATTGCAGCAAATAGATTAACTTGTTAACATATTTTGAGTTTATCTTTCTAAAACAGTCTCACTTATGAAAATATTTAATGAACGTAATTAACATAGTTATTTTATACTGGAAATCAAGATAACTTGCTAATGAATACTGTATGCAGATTTGTATTTGCTCTTTTACGGAAAACAAAACCAACTCTCTTTGTCAATATCTCACTGCATTGTGAATGGTCATAAAGGTAAATTGTGTTTGTTAATAAAGCTTTATTAAAAATAAAGCAGTCAAAAATAAATAGATCTTTATATCAGAAATGAAATTTCTTTCTAAAATTCGGGTAAGTCCTACCAAACAATTAAATTCGCAGTCAATTTTTTAACAAAATTTAATGAAAATATAAATTTAATATAATTCCATAAAATATTTGTAAATTGTAACTGTTACCATCATGTTTCTAACACCAAAAACGAATGGTTTGTAAAGATAATTTTTCTCAATAGTGTGCCAATTTGGAAATATATGTTAATATGGAAGCGTATAAGAGGCAGATGTTGGCATTCTTTTTCTGCATGAAAAAGGGGGTTTTCTTGTTTATGGATCACAAAAATGATCACATTTTGATTGTTTAATATTCCATATTTAAAGGTTTCAGGACAAAATGTAATAATTTGAATATTATTATTCATAGTCATTAAATAAACTGGATATTTTATTTTATTTTGCTAAAAAAATTCGAATGTAAATTGTAGAGTCGATGAAACAGAATAAATGTAAGTCGACTTATAGCTGAGCCAAATATACTGGTGGATTTTCCAAATCATTTCCTTCATTCGTGGTGTAGTCGTAAGGGCATGCCCCAAATTCTGATACGTTTTCCAAAAATAATATCTTCGGAAAACATTCCTCTATTGCTTTGAAAATTTGAAATCATCCTTAAAATATATGATTTCTTATTTCTGAATTAATCATTAGAGTTACTACTGTAGTTTATGAAATATTAATATTAATAATAAATTTGAAGAAAAAAGATATAGGAAAATTATTGTTCCTTTTTCTCAAAAAGTAACGAACACAACTTATTCAAATTTTTCTCCTGCAATCAATCTATGTACTAGAATATTGATAAATAAAATTATTACTCCAAGTTAATTACAATAATTGTGATATTTTTGAAAATACGCATTTTCTTTTACAATTTCTTGCTATGATTAACATTGGTGGAGATAGTTTTATTGTTGCTATAATAATAATAATAATAATAATAATAATAATAATAATAATAATAATAATAATAATTCTAGTAATCAAAACTCAATATTGTGTCTGCAATGCTTGTTTAAAATTTAATTTTGATTGGACGGTACACTTAAGAGAAAAAGGTACGTTTATAAGAAAAATCATATTTTACGGGAAAAATATATTTAAATTAGAAGTTAAAAATGTATACACCTTAGTACACTCCAGGAGAATAATCATTCTGGACATCATCTTTCAGCTTTCTTTTGGTCTTTTCTCAACTCATGCTTGGTTTGTCATGGCCTCAGATGCTAGGCTAGCATAATATATGCTTTCACTATCTATTGCCTTCAATATTATAGCACAGTTGTATCCAACGATTATCCCCGTTTTTGCTAAAAGTAATTTCCTTGCCTCTGCACCATCATTGTATGATAGTACTGCATCCATAATACCAATTCTCAGAGTCTGAGCTAAAAACAACATTTTTTGAGATGCATTCTCATATGCAGTTGTCCAGGCTCTCATTTACATTTTGAGTCCTCCAATGAAGAAATTTTTTCAAAAGATGCCGCCGACTTAGGTCCCTATGAATGGGTTTTATTACATCAATGATGGCAGGAGGCAAGGAATGTTTGTGATGGCATTCTTGACCAGAAAACAACTAGTCAAAAGATACGTGTCCTTGTAACTTTGTGTAGAATAAAACTACACATAGTGAGCGAGGCATTTAAAGACCAAACCAACGCAATTCAACATATAAATATTTGTTAACACCTTAAAGATTAGTTTTATCTCATAATATACACATCAAATACTTCTTAAAAGACCAAAGTTTTTTATGAAATCAAAAACCAAAAATGCTATTTTTTGGCATTTTTTACTACAGGATTGCTACTATTGCTTTTGGTTGCCGAGTTAAAGGTGTACTTATGTAGATGAAAATTGCATACATTTTGTAAATAAGAAACACTAAGAAGAATACTCTAGTTGTCTAATTATAGTGTTGTCCAATTATTAATGGTTTGATATCATTTATCAACATTAAATACGTCGAGTGGTTTCTTTATTCACTCTAGAAGGCACTGTGAAACAATCAGAAGATATGTCGCTATCGTATAAACGTTTCCACGTCTAATCAGCTTGTTGACCGGAGCTCAGCGGGTACTGACGCCGGCACAGTTCCGGGTAAAATACGGCCGAGTGAGCGAGCGTGGGTGGGAGTTTTCCAGGCGGGTGCGTGGGCGGGGCAAGGCAGCCGCGACAGCGCCCTGGCACGCTGCCGGCCGCCGATCCGGGGCCGTTGCCCCCGAAGTTCGAACGCAGTCGCTTGTTGCAAGAACTCTACCTTGCCCGGGCGAGCTCCTTAAAATGCGTGGGACCTAAGAAGCGCGCGCGCCAAGATTTACGGCGAGCACCGATGTAGAAAACACCGCGCGATTCCCCCGTGAGAGGGCGCCGGCGAATCGGTTCCAAAAGCGGAGCCATTGATCCGGAGTCCAGATCAGAGAGGGAGGGTTGAACACGTCAACGACCGAGGGCGCTGGTCCTTTTGAGAGTGGCGCTTGTTAAAGGCGGGAGAAGGCCTCCTTTCCCTCTGGATAGGCAGTTCCTACTCCGAACTACTCGTTGATTTGCGAGTAATTCAGTTCTCCAGGTAACTCTACTGGAGGGACACCCTCTCCCGGGCAAACTGTAAGCGCCCAACTGGCCTCTCGATATGTGCGGTGCACGAAAAGTGCGAGTAAGGGGCAAAGCGCGGGACAAGAACAAGAACGAGGACGGAAAAGACACGCGCCGTGTGTTTTTCTCCCTCGTTATTAGTACGATTTTTCTGTGAAAGAGTACGTAAACGTGAAATAATTTGAATTTATTTATTTATTTAATTATTTATTTATTTATTTATTTATTTATTTATTTATTTATTTATTTATTTACGTCAAAAACAGTTAAAAACTCTGTGTGACGTGCTGTGGGGAGAAGTTCATTTGAAGTTGTAGAGGCAAAACAAGGGGCCATCACAACTGTTGCTCGAGGATCAGGTAAACTGGACGAAAACGTGATGGAGAGGGGAGACATTTACGTGGAAATATAGTGCGATTTTTTTGTTCAAATTAGTTGTTCATTAAATTTTCACCTAATAATCATAATTACTTCACTACCTGGAAATTAAAATAGACATCTAATTTAATCTTTTTTGACTCAAGTCTTATCCTCTGAATCCCCTGGCTCCTTGCATAAGACGTGACTAAACTATTATTCCTGGACGTTTTGCCATTATCTTATTCAGGTATAACGTAAAAATTTTACACTGGATATCGATGTTTCTGATACTTAATCTACAACAATTCGCACGCCAATCAAAACTCTCATGTATGCTGCACTACCGGGGGATTTTACTTTTCCAAGCGGCTTCGAATGAGACTCAAAGTATCTTCCAGTGTCGAGTAAGGTGCAGCTGGCTCGTTTACTTTTCATTCCCAAAATGACCGTCGTCTTTGACCCGGACCAATACCCTATTCGATTTCACGAGTCAGACATGTTTATCCGAAACTGTAGGAGATGACGCTACTTTAAATAACCTGAACCAGTATTGATCATGTATTATCCGAAAAGACCAAGGAAAAACGACCGATTGGAGCAGATCGCCGCTAGAAATATTCTCAAGACAGAGGTTGAATACGACCCAACTAGCTTGCGAGGGTCGAAGTTCAGATAGCTTCAGATAACAGAGCTTCTCAGAGGAGCCGAGGCTGGCGCCGAGAGCGCCTGGCAGCGTCGAGTAACTCGCAGAGGCAACGTCAACTCCCAAGGGGCGGCTCGCGAGCGTTTCGGCGACGCTCAGGACGAAGCGGCGCGGCGGCGGCGGCCGATGCAGCGCACAGGGGAAATGGCGAGACGGGACATGATGAGACGGGACGGGACAGAATAAGGCGGAACGATTGGGACGTGATGAGACGGCATGAGATGGTGCGGGGCGGAGCGGGACGCAACAGGACGGGGCAGGACGCGACGAGACGGGACAGGACGGGACTGGACGCGGCGGGACGGAGTGGGATGGGACGGGAAGGCGTGGGACATGATGAGAGGGGACGAGATAGAACGAGACGGAATGAGTGGGACTTGATGAGACGAGGTGGGACGGGACTGGGTAGGGCGGGAGGTAGTGTGACGAGGTGGGACGGGACAGGGCAGGACGGGGCGGGGTGGTACGGGCGGGACGGAACAAGGGGAGACGAGATGAGACGGGACAGCGCAGGTCAGGACGAGGCGGAACGAGGCAGGACGGGAAAGGGCGGGGCGTGATGGGACGGGCAGGGGTGGTGTGGGAAGGGGCAGGAGGGATGTGCTGGGTGAGTGGCGCGGGTGCTTTGGGGAGATAGCAGAGTTGACACTGTAAGGAGAATCGGATGTCGAGGAAGGTTGGGGTGAGAATCTCGAAATGGCTAGAAACGAGTTGATGTTAAGATTTAGTATTGGCTGAAGTAATTTTACAGGCAATTGGCTGAAGTAATTAATGCACTGAAGTCATAAGTTGACATTATAGTCCGAATATTTACTGCCTTTGAAATTTGTATCCAAACAACTGTCTAAAAATATGCTGCAATAATTAGAAGTCATCGTTTTGTAGATTTAATAAAAATCTTCTTTTTATGTCACACTCTAATTATTACATTAGCAAGTAATGCTATAGTAGTTTGTCATTGCTTTCCGTAGGGGTTAACTTCCGTAGGGGTAGTGAGTTAATTTGGCGTTTGATTTCAATACCAGATATCGCAGGCCAAAATACAATATTCACCATCTTATCCAATACTAAAAATCGAAACTCTGATTGGTGCTAAATTGCTTCAGGATGTAATTTTTCCCGGACCGGCCAAGTGCATTTTCTGGAATCGGTTTTACATGCGGACAAGCCTCCGCCTGCAAGCCGTCGATATTTGGCACCTCAAAAATCCTCAGGGGCATTCACATTCATAAAGATTGCCAATCATCTCAAAGAACTGGAGAGCGAGCCATGGGTGTCAGATAAAAAAAGCTCCCGAATGACCTTGAAACCTTCGGGTGGTTGACTCCGCGTGGCCGATTACAGTTCAATATTTCACTTATCGCGTAAATCATAACGTTCAAAAACCAGTTACTACTAGCCCAACAATAGTATTCAGCCATTTACAAGGCACGCGAATATTATGCACGTGAATGTTATCTCGTGGTTATCCGAAGTCTGAAGGAGTAGTGGATACACGTAATTACTACTTAACGCTTTGATCTTATCATTAGCATAAATGCAAACTGAAAAAATAAGGTATGCTACATATCCTCCTGGCCTGTGTAAATTTCAGCTAGAGTCTGTTACTCATTGCTTTCTATAAGTTTCCATATTGGTGAAGTGGTGCGTCATATTTTCAATTGCTTTTAAAATACTCCATCCGTTACGGAATGTATCAACAATGTGCGCCGACCATTCCTTCGCAGTAATTTGCAAAGTATCACTCGAAGAGGCAGGCATACAAAATAGCCATAACCAAGAATAAATTGGCGATCGCTTAGGCGTTGTGGACTAGTCAAAACCGAGCGCAATCTCAACTGCTATTAGGTTTGGTTCGGCTGCCTGTACCAAAGCATGCATGAGCGGTGGAGAATGAAGGCGAGGCTAGCAGGCGATGCGGTTTCCAGGATCAGACTGGCCCAAGGGGTGGGGGAAGCGTTCAGGGTTTGCCGAAGAGCTCTCGGAATAATCGCAACAGCGTGGATGATTTTTTTAATTGACTGATTAGCGATTCCTGTCGCGTCAACTGAAAAGGGCATTAGTCTCGTAAGTGTAGTGTATTTTTATTGCGTAATGTGGTGGTGATCTTCCGTTGGAAGGTGACACCAGCCGGTCGGCTAGCGGGATTTTCCCCAACCAGGTATCTCTCACCAACAGGACACCGCCCCAGCCGAGCCAAGCTCGAAGCTCCCGCCTGATCTTCTGGCGTGTGTGGTAGTGTAGTGCATGTTAGTGTAAGGGGTGAGGATAGAATGAGGGAGAGGAAGGAAAGATCGCGCACTGTCCGTGGTTCATTTGTTAGGGCACTGATCATTCACCTGGTGTTTACGCAAAACTACCGATCAGAGGAGCTGACCCATGTTGATAGGTGATTGGCGGAAAGACCGAACTTGCTTTCATGGAATCCGTATTCTGAAACTTGACACTGTTCGGAAAATGATATTTCAACAAAAATAAAACCAGTGCCGTTTTGTAAGAGTGCTTTGTTCTATTCGAGAGAATATATATTTTTTAATTGGAGCAGTTTTTGAAGAGAAGTAATGATTGTGAATATAAATTGACGGACTACATTCAAATGTGAGAAGGAATTTTATGATCTCGTAAATGTTATGTAGTCTCTTAGAGTCATTTGGTATGTAGATATTCTAAGCTAGGTATCTTCGTCTGCTTGGTTTTATTTCTTTTAAGGTCTGTTATAGAATAAAAATCTTGTAAATTGTAAGATTATATGCGCAGAATGCGAAATGTAATACATAGTTTGCAGTTGGAAAATAGAAAATATGAAGATTGATTGATAAATTACCAAAATTATTTTAATGTATTAAACCATGTGAAATTGAGTGAGTATTAATTCAAATACATGTTTCTTGCTTTAATGCACTTTGGTTCCCCCATTTGAACTAAGCACTCTCCAATTTCCTAGTTTTAATCTTGCATTATCCTATTGTATAAGTTAAGCGAAGAAACCACATAAGAGTCCTGATTATGGAGATTCATGTATTGACGTCAGAAATGATATTGATTCAACCTTGTCAAAATTCAATTTATAAAAGTTATAATAATTTTATTTGTCGTTTTTGTTGTTTGTAAACATCATTTAAAATTATCTGCATTTAACGCAAAATTTCGAGAAAACTACTCACATTTTCCAACAAATTTACATGAACTTATTTCAAGGTCTGTTTTGAACAAAAGATTTCATTAGAAAAAACTTTATCTTCAAAATTGTAGATGCAGGAAGACGCCAAGAAAATGTTGAAGTTTTGCAGTTTTCGAACCATTCGAAATTTCAACAAAAATGAGATTCATTCCATTTGTAGTTCTTTGTGCTATTCAAGGATAACGTTTAATCAGAATATTTGGAGCCATTTTTGAGAAAAAGTTTGAAAACTTTGAGACTCTCATTTCAAGTAGCCAAAAACACAAACTAGAAAGAATCCCTAGCACCTCTACATCTAAATTTTTCTCAAACTGTATTCACAAAGCGGAATTTTCCCATGTTTATATCATTTGCTCTCTACATTTTATTTTGTTTGATACGACTCCTCTACGTATGGCTTTTCAATTCTTTCATTGATAGATTTCTATGCTAATTATTTTGAATATGCTAGTCGTGCTGACTTTCTGTGTATAACTAATGATTCCCAATTAATATTCGCCCAATTTTTTTGTTTTTCGAATTTCGCCACTTTTTTCTGCACTCGATTTAAGCTTTTAACCTGACCTACCCTATGAGTATACTAGCACGTTACTCGGTATTCCATTAAGGGATGATCAAAATAAGTGCAAGCCTCTATTTTCTCGTTACACTTCGGTTTTCGTAATATGTTCATATCAAATTAAGAAGTTTCCAAACCTTCTTTGTCGTGTATCTATCGTGACCTGCCCAGTTGAGGTTGCTTCAAATTATTAAGCCCAAATAATTTCAGCTTCGTACCTCAAGAAGTTTACTTTTACCCTCAATATAATGGAATGTTTCCTGTGTTCAATCTTTCGTTAAATTAATTGTTTTGCTTTTATGAAAGTTTATTTGCTTCAATTTTCCTGGAACCACTTCAATAATTCGTCAATATTGTTTTGCAATTGTTAAATGTAGAATTTGTCTTTAATTTTTTAGTACACAAGGCAGTCGTCCGCGAAAAGTCTGATTGTTGATCGGATTTCAGTACTGGAATCATTAATATTTATAAGAAAAAGAAGCAGCTTTAGCATTTTTCCGTTGGGGCGCCGGATGAGCATAAACCTCGTTCAGATAGAAAGCCATCAATTTGGGCTCCGTGCTCGACTGCAGAGAAATTCCCTAATACAGATTACTGCTCACGAATCTGCTTCCGATTAGCTAATTTTATATAGTAGATTGTCGTAAGAATTTTTATATTTTTTTAGTAATGACAGTGAGATTAGTGATTTAGTCGTCCGTCGTTTGCTCTTAGACATCAGATTATTGGTATAAATGGACGATATGGGATCTGCGTTTGCACAATTACATGGGGCCGAAATTTATTTCCCGTAATCGTTTGCAAATAATGTCTGTCGTTCAGAGGAATAGCCACTTTACGTTGAGGAGTGCTCAACAATATTCGCGAGATGACAGGCAAGAACGCGCTGTTGAGAATTGGGTGAGAATTGATTAAAATGCTCCGGGAGCGAGAGCTTTGAAGAGATGCAACCAGAGTACAGCGCAATCGCTCGCAATTAACTGGGACGACGAGGAATCTCGGGACCCAAACATCGTTGCCAAGTTTCCGCCGTAGTCAAACTGCGGAAGAGATGATTTTGATTCCGAAAGTTTACACTTCAGTTTGAAAGAGCCTCCGATGCAAAATTAAATAAGATGAAAAAATATACGGATTAAACAGTACGTCTCGCGGCTTATTCTACTGAAAAAAATTGTTTGTCGGTAGAAAGAAATTGTTGTGATGGTATGTTATTATAACTTCCATACTCTTGATACGTGCTTTAATAGTGATTATTTCAAGAACCTCACAATATAAGTGTATTGATAAAGAAGCACAGAAGATCGATATCGTTGAACCTAAGGGGACTTCAAAATCGATGTGCGACTACGATATCTGTAATCTTGATTTATTGGATTCAAGTTCCTCTAAATTGTGGTTCCATTTGATCTAGTGTTACAATTACATTCGTGTCGAACTTGCACCATGCTCTCATCTTCAGCTGTTTTATGTGTCGTGTTGCTGGTGATAGGAGGTAATGTGCCAATCGCAAACTCACAAACTCCGATTGCAAACTCTTCTGACCTTTAAATAACACTAGGGCTTGTGCCTCAATTTGGATTATAGAATATTATTGTAGACAGTTGGGGTTGAGAAAATTATATTCTTTGCTTTAAATTGTTACTGATGTTTTAGCTTCTTTCACGATCAGAGATCTGTGAAATCATTGAGTCTCTTCTTTGTGCTCATTAGGTTTCATATTATTATGAAATTCATTTAATTATCTTAATATTAATTGATTTGGCAAATCTTTCGTGACTGTTCAGAAATTTTAAAATATATAAATAATTGTTATCATAAGAAATTCAAATGAATGACAGAGTTAATGAATTTTGAACTGTTACTGCATATCTAGAGTTTATTAGACTCATGGAATGCTCCTTTCTACAAAAAAAATGTTTTGTTCTGTTGTTTTTTGTGCCTACTAATACATGTTAATACTTTGTGTGATGTCCTTTGCACGTGACGACAGTTTTATCTACTTTTTATGAGAGCTTCTCTTTTACGATGTGCATTATATTGCATTAATATGCATTATGCATTATATGCTTATATGCATTAAATGCATTCAGGACTGTGTTTACTTCCAATTTACTCACTTGGTCTGATTAATAAGAGATGCTTGAAGTAAGAGCAAAAAGTCGTCAAATCTTGGTTTAGCTCATTACAAAGGCTCATTGTAAAAGGCAAATGCCCTTTTTAGTGTACTTCCAGTAAACCACTTTATATATGATACTTTTGTATACAAAAAAATATTAAAATAAATATATAAAATAATATAAAATATATAAAGAGAGTGCATTTATAAGTTTTAAACTTAACTGTTTGTTTTTTGGCACATTCACATACTGTTTCCTTCTCGCTTTACTACGTAAATTGTATAGAGAAAGTGTTGAAATGGTTTTCATTGTTTTCATTTTCATTTGTTCCGTTTTCATTCGGTAAAGAGTCTGCCAGTACTTAGGTGCTAATATCGTTGACAGGCGGACAGACGGACGAACGTATTTAGCAAAAATATCTTTGTTTCTTAGATGATCCCAAAACTTTTATTTCCGTCGAAATCTCGAAATATATTTTCGGAAACATACCAAAATATTCTGTATGCTACGTATGGTATAACTACATACGTACGTATACATGAAAGTTTTAAATTAATAGTAAAGTATCAGAAAATAAAACGGTTCATCCTCAGAATCGACAGTATTTGGTCATTAAGTTTGTCTAGTAACAAATAAGAACTATTCGTTTAACCATAGAGAGCCAACTTGGACAATTACTAACATTAAATTATCTTTGGTATGTGGTGCGAGTATTGTAACAGACCAAAAAAACCGCATTAACTCTTGTCATATTCTCTTGACTGTTGACAATGAACGTGTACTACGAACATTGGTGAGTATGTACCTAAGGTCCCCTTCACACAGCGCCACTCAGCAGCGCGTCAGGGAGAAGCGACTGCTGGCAAAGCATTGATTTCAATACATGTCTTCACACACACACACATACACACACACACACACAAAATAACAGTTGCAGTATATCAGATCCATGACACTGTAACAAGGGAACTTGTTACAATATCATGGATCTGGTATACTGCAACTGTTCTTTTTTTCGTGACAAGCGGCGTTGTGCTGCTGTGGATAACTTCCACTACCAGCAGCGCAGCCGGGTGTCAGCGTCGACAAAACACATTTCCAAAAGGTAGCATTCACACTAGACGCCATATTGAACCGATTGTTCCCCTCCTGCCTGCCTTTCGGCTGTCTGAGTACAAAGCACGAAACCTTCCTCTCTGGCGGTCGTCATGTCTGTGTGAAGGGCCCCGCCGCTTGTCGGTGGCGCCTCCGAGTGGCTCCGTGTGAAGGGCTCCGGCGCTTGTCGGTGGCGCCTCCGAGTGGGTCCGTGTGAAAGGCTCCGGCGCTTGTCGGTGGCGCCTCCGAGAGGCTCCGTGTGAGTGTCTGAACGGTGTGTGTCCGCAGCGCTGGCGGTTCCCGGGCAGAGGCTCCCGGAAGGCGGCGGCCGCCTGCCCCCGGAGGACCCTCCGGCGCGCCGGAGCTTCGACGGCCCTCGCGACGTCTCCCTCCTCCTCTACACGCGGTGAGTCAGCCCTCTTGCCCTCCCACGGCGGCCCTTTCGGCTCACGACAAACTTCCAACTAACCTTTCAGTACTTTTGAGGTAGTTGTTGCCGGAGTTTCGTCACGAGTAATTCGTTATTCAATCCTCTTCACCAACAATAAGTAACTATTTGTGCATAGATTCTAGCAGAAGTGTGTTATATTTGTAGCAGAAGTCGAATAGAATCTTGCCACAAGTGTCGATGCGTACTCGTGCGTTTGGAGATCTGAGGGAGTGAGGATGAGTATTGTTTCCCAGCGCATCTCCTTGGCCATTGATCCCATTAGTGTAGTGCTGGAAGATGGCGGTGTTCCTTTGCCATCTGATAGAACGTGAAATCCAGCACCGAACTCTTCGTCGTTTGCTTTTCCTCTTCCGCCTATCTTCCCTAGCAAGGTATCACTCCCGCCGACGCAAGCTCTAAGCTCCAGCCTGGATTTCTGTAATGTATAGTAGTATTGTGCATGAAAGTGTAACTGTACATGGGAGCTAGGTAATTAAAATACTTTAAAATATATTTTATAAAATTAATGTTTTAAAAAATAAAAAGAGTTGTAGTACAAACTAGCAGTAATTAGAATACCTTAAAATCATTATTTATGTGCTAATTAATTCTCACTTTAATTTAAATTTAATATAAACCATTGTAAAAGTTTTTTAAATTACATTAAGTGTTGGTTCAGAACTTTGAAAGACATATGCCTGAATCATTCATGTTGTCATGTTACGATGAGTTTAGACTACGTACTTTTGCGCATGTATTTCAAAAATGATATTTTCTTCTATTTACCGTCTTATGTGTTGCGGTGTAATTTTTGCAGGGACAACCCTTTGGAACCAGAATACGTCACTCTCAATGATTCTTCAGCTCCAAGTTTCGATGCGAGAAATCCTACACGTGTTATAATTCACGGCTGGTTATCCGGTGCCCAAAATCTCCAAGATTACAGAGAAGGTACAATTTATAGACGAATTCGCACACTAAATCTATTACTTAGATACAAGAACAACAACGGGATAGAAGTTTTGATGTTTCGAAATTGGACTCATTCTCTATCAGTAATAAATAAAAAGTTTCGTAGAAAATATTCTGAAAAATAACCTCATTAAATAGACGTTCAAGGAAGTTACTGTGACTTTAAATAATATTGATATGAAAATTATGCGAGACGAAAAAGTTTCAGTTTTTAAATCACGTTTTTTGTTGAGTATATGTAATGCAAAATGTAGTTTTGGTTTGGTTTGTTTTATGGTCTTCTATAATATTCCCGAGTATTTGTGTATAATAAATAAATTTTCTGGCGAAAGGAGCTGATATTGAAATGCATATAGATATAGTACTTTCATAAGATAATTGTCATACTTTTCAATGATCGAACAATATTACAAAACTTTTACTGCGCGCAAAACCTGGAAGACAACGATCATGTGAGAGGAGTTTATGGTTTCTTTAGATACTTAGGAACTCAGAAAAAGTAAAAACATTGAAACATTTCGACTGAAAATGAAAATATTTGACATGTTATTCCACTTATTCTCATATTGCACATACCGATTAAATTCTCATAAACAGTAGAAGCTTACAACTCATCTGACGTCATGCGACAGGAACTCTGCAAGGATGAACCCATCCACCATTAAATATTTTCTGTTCACCTGATGCATTATGGAACAGCAACTTTTTTATATTCTTGGTATGTAAACAAACATAGGCAGGTATTCCTCCAAAGGCTGTGCTAATTCCCATTTCCTCCATTAAATCAAAGAAATGCCACCCGAAAATAAAATACGTCACTCATACCTCTAATTGTCAATTGCAAAAAAATTAAGTATTTTAAATCGAAAATATCATTGTTTTGTAATAACGTTTAATGCAATAATTGCATTAACTTACTATGCTCATTTTATTAGGTTTCACAGACATAGATTCTAGTCTTAAAAGAGCTGTCTGCCCAAAAGGAAAACTTGTTAATTTATTTCACATTGTTGCCATATACAACAAATTACGTAATGATTCAATTAAACAACAGAATACGAAAACAAACCATAATTCGCATTGATACAATCAAACAAGCATTCAAATATATTAATGTTTATTGGTTATAATGGTAATACAAGGCAGACTTAAAAATAAAATAAATATGAAATAAAGGAATAAGTAATGAAGTATACAAATTCAAATTTCGGTTATGTGATAGAAGACATTAGTGAAATATATTTTTGAATGAAGAATCATTGTTCGGTAAACTTCCAGCCTTTCCTTCCCTTCACATGGCGCTTACATTCCGCGCTTCAGCTCGTGTGCACCTCTTTCTAGATATGAAGGGGAAATGCGTGCGAAGTCTGAGGGCTGCGTCCGTACTTGCCGGAGCACCGAACTTCTCAGGCGTGCAATTAGTCCGTGTGGGCGCCATTTGACATGTCTGGCTTTCTGTTTTTATCAGGATCTGTGTTTCAAATACATACTTGGAGATCTCTAGTCAAACACACACGTTTCGATAGCACTGTGAAATAACAATTTTCACTGATTTGGGTGTAACTTGGTTGGGAAGTCCAAATGTATCTTAATTTCAGAGGAACTGGATTCATTGTTGTGACTAAGTGTTCTCTATGAGCAAGAAAACCTGTCTACATTTTATTTTGTAAATGAGTCATTTGTACCCTATTTCCAATTTTATGCAATGAAAACTTGCCGTAAGATTACAGGAACGATTAAAAAAATCGACACGCGAAAAATTGCAGTAAGAAAAATTACACTGCATTTCTCAAACAAGGAAGTTCATTACACGTAGTAATTAGCAGCGTTGAACGCACCCAAAGTCTAAAGTTATGATAGGATCATCCTGTATTAATAACCGCTCGCTGAAGTCACTGTTAAACGCTTGTTGAAAAGCATTGCGTAGTTCACTTCAGCCGGGCTCCGTTTTCGCCACCTTGCAGATGGCAGAGGCTTATCGCTTCATCGACAACTGCAAAGACCCGCCACCGGCGGTGGTACAGCGGCAGCAAAAGAAAAGACAAACGTTACTCGCAGGCGACAAATATGCTTCTAATTTTCTAAATCTTAAAGTTTTCAATCTCATTAAGTAGTAATACCTGATGTGTTAGTTCAGTGATAACATTGTTGTTAATTTGGAGTTGGACAATTACAATCTTTTTTTAGAAAAATATAATAAAAATATATGTTACAGTAGACATTTCGGGGAAAATGGAATATTTGTTGAGTGGACGCAGTAAGAAACACTTTTCAAATAAAAAATTCGAGTGAGTTACGTAAAAGATTAAATAGTTAAAGCACGTGCGTGACACGGTCAAAACGATTCAGTGGGTTACGTACTTCATAAGATCAAGATAAATTGCACTTGAGATTCGTCACACTATTGATTTCGTATTGTGTTTAGCACACAGCCATACAGTACGGGCAATATTATTTAGTGTTATCAGAGGCTCAGTGAAGCACTACCTACTTCAAAAGGAGTCATAGCGAAAAATAGTCTCAATAGGAACAATTTCTGTTAAGATAGCACATAAAGATTAACATTTAATTATATGGACGGACAATAAAAACATTTCCAAAGCTTTAAAATGCAAACAAAACACTTCTTCAAATTACTTCTTTCACAAAATAATCAAACAAAACATTGTTTCATGCCTAAATTGTAAAGTTGTAAAGGTATAATTAGATTATCACTCATTTTATGTGAACATTACAAATAATACATCTCATACTCCATTTCTTCAACATCTCAATTTCGCTCTATTCCGCACAATTCTGCTCCATTCCGCCAAAATTGCGCCAAGTTCCACTAAATTTCGCCCAATTAAGCCCAACTCAGCTCAATTCAACCCAATTCCGCCCAATTCTGCACAATTCTCCTCAATTCCGTCCCGTTCCGCCCAATTCCGCTCCATTCCGCCAAATTGCCCCAAAATCCGCCAAATACCCCATAATGCTTTCCAATTCCGGTCAATTCCGCCCAATTCTGCCTAGTTTCGTTAGACTTTGCCCTGTTCAATTCCGTCCAATTCCGCCCAAATCCGCTCAATTCTTCCCAATCCACCCAATTCCACCAAATTCCGCTCGATTCCGCCGGATTCCGACTAATTAAACTCGATTCCACTCAACTCCGATATATTCCGCTAAACTCCGCTAAATTCCGCCGATTGCCGCCCATTACCGCCAATTCCGCCAAAATCCGCCCGATTTCGCTCGATTACACCCAATTCCGTTCCGCTGCCGCCCAAAGCCGCTCAAACCAGCCCAGTTCCCCCTAATTGCGCGTCATTCCGCACCATTCCGCACCATTCCGCACCATTCCGCTTCATTCCGCGTCGTTCCGCTTCATTCCGCGTCTTTCCGTGTCCTTCCGCTTCCTTCTGCGTCGTTCCGCGTCGTTCCGTGCATTCCGCTTCATTCCGCTTCAATCCGCTTCATTCCGCGTCAATCCGCGTCAATCCGCTTCATTCCGCGTCATTCCGCGTCAATCCGCTTCATTCCGCGTCATTCCGCTTTTCTCCGCTTGTTTCCGCGTCGTTCCGTTTCGTTCCGCGTCATTCCGATTCATTTCGCTTCATTCCGCTTTCTTCTACTTCATTCCGCGTCTTTCCGCTTCGTTCCATTTCATTTCGCGTCATTCCGCGTCATTCCACGTCATTTCGCGTCATTTCGCGTCATTTCGCGTCATTCCGCGTCATTCCGCGTCATTCCGCGTCATTCCGCGTCATTCCGCGTCATTCCGCGTCATTCCGCTTCATTCTTCGTCGTCCCGCTTCATTCCCCTTTATTCCGCATCATTCCGCGTCATTCCGCTTAATTCCGCGTCATTTCTCTTCATTCCGCGTTGTTCTGCGTCGTTCCGTTTCATTCCGCTTCATTCCGCATCGTCCCGCGTCGTTCCGCGTCGTTCCGTTTCGTTCTGTTTCGTTCCGCTTCGTTCCGCTTAATTCCGCGTCTTCCGCGGCATTCCGCTTCGTTCCGCGTTGTTCTGCGTCGTTCCGCTTCATTCCGCTTCATTCCGCTTTATTCCGCTCTATTCCGCATCATTCCGCGTCATTCCGCTTCATTCCGCGTCATTCAGCTTCATTCCACTTCATTCCGCGTTGTTCTGCGTCATTCCGCTTCATTCCGCTTTATTCCGCATCATTCCGCGTCATTCCGCTTCATTCCGCGTCATTCAGCTTCATTCCGCTTCATTCCGCTTCATTCCACGTCGTTCCGCGTCATTCCGCTTCATACCGCTTCATTCGGCGTCATTCCGCGTCATTCCGCTTCATTCCGCGTCAATCTGCTTCATCCCGCGTCATTCCGCTTTATTCCGCTTCATTCCGCGTTGTTCCGCTTCGTTCCGCGTCGTTCCAATTCATTGCGCCTCGTTTCGCGCCGTTCGGCGTCGTTCCGCTTCATTCCGCTTCATTCCGCTTAATTCCGCGACTTCCGCGGCATTCCGCTTCGTTCCGCGTTGTTCTGCATCGTTCCGCTTCATTCCGCTTTATTCCGCATCATTCCGCCTCATTCTGCTTTTTTCCCATTCATTCCGC